TGATTTCCTTTAGAATGGATAGGTTTGTTCTCCTTGCAGTCCAGGGGACTCTCAAGAGTCTCCTCCAGCACCACAACTCAAAAGCATCAATTCTTCGGCAGTCAGCCTTCTTTATGGTCCAGCTCTCACTTCCATACATCACTACTGGACAAACCATAGCTTTGATTATGCGTACTTTTGTTGGCAAGGTGATGTTTCTGCTTTTTAAGATGCTGTCTAGGTTTGTCATTGCTTTCCTCCCCAGAAGCAGGCGTCTTTTAATTTCGTGGCTGCTGTCACCATCTGCAGTGACCATGGAGCCCAAGAAAGTAAAATCTGTCACTGCCCCCATATCCTCCCCTTCTATTTGCCAGGAGGTGATGGGACCAGTGGCCATGATTTTTCTTTTGTTCCTTGCATATACTGCAGTACTGAACAGAAAAGCTGTGCGAGTGGGAAAGGGGTTATATCACTGGGTGCAGTAGTCAGAATACTATATGTCTTTATGTTGTTTTGTTAAAATTGGTTGTTGTTGTTGTTGTTGTTGTTTTGTTCCTTGCAGATACTGCAGTACTGAACAGAAAAGCTGTGGGAGTGGGAAAGGGGTTATATCCCTGGGTGCAGTCCTCAGAATACTATATGTCTGTATGTTGTTTTGTCAAAATTTAGCAACTGGAACAGAAGGAATGGCCAAGATTTTTACAGCAAGAGGAACTAAAAAAAACCACAGAAAGCAACACAGAACAAAACAGAGAGCTACAATACCACCCTCTGTTCCCCCTTTCCACTGCAGACTCACACCAAACCATTTCTAACATCCTGTACTAGACCCTTGAGATATATTTTGACCGGCACATCCCATTGTAGCCAAAAAGTGGAATATAAATATAATACACAAACATAAACAGGTTGAGACAACAATCATGGCTAAATGAATCTTCTTGGTACCACTCAGAACCAATTAGTTATTTAGCTGGCCTATACACTTGCATATAATCATTCAATAAAGAGACTACAGAATATCTGTGGATACCAATTGTTCCCAAGAGAACACATTGAGCCTTAAACTGCAAAAGAACACGTTGAGCCTTAAACTGCAAAGGAAATAGACCAATGAAAAACACACTTGAGCCTACATTTCTAACATCCTGTACTAGACCCTTGAGATATATTTTGACCGGCACATCCCATTGTAGCCAAAAAGTGGAATATAAATATAATACACAAACATAAACAGGTTGAGACAACAATCATGGCTAAATGAATCTTCTTGGTACCACTCAGAACCAATTAGTTATTTAGCTGGCCTATACACCTGCATATAATTATTCAATAAAGAGACTACAGAATATCTGTGGATACCAATTGTTCCCAAGAGGTCAGACAAAAGAACGTGTTGAGCCTTAAACTGCAAAGGAAATAGACCAATGAAAAACACACTTGAGCCTAATAAGAGAGAAAACAGAAGATCATATGGACTGCCTTGCCAAATCAGACTGGACAAGCACAGCATTCTGTTTCAAACATCAGCAGCCCAGATGCTTCTGAATCTTCCACACAGGATGCAAAAGTCACATTATAACGGCTTTCCATCACAGCTAATGGAACATGAAAAAATGATTGGAGTTTCCCTGTACTGAAAAAAAGGAAAAAGGAAAAGAAAAAAGGTATGTATTCCAGTTTTGAATGCCTAGAGACTACAGAATATCTGTGGATACCAATTGTTCCCAAGAGGTCAGACAAAAGAACGTGTTGAGCCTTAAACTGCAAAGGAAATAGACCAATGAAAAATACACTTGAGCCTAATAAGACAGAAAACAGAAGATCATATGGACTGCCTTGCCAAATCAGACTGGACAAGAACAGCATTCTGTTTCAAACATCAGCAGCCCAGATGCTTCTGAATCTTCCACACAGGATGCAAAAGTCACATTATAACGGCTTTCCATCACAGCTAATGGAACATGAAAAAATGATTGGAGTTTCCCTGTACTGAAAAAAAAGGAAAAAGAAAAAGAAAAAAGGTATGTATTCCGGTTTTGAATGCCTAGCGTAGAAGGTAACAAATGCACTTTGTGAAATTGTATTGTATAATGGAGGCACACACTATATATGTTGCTCTTGCAAAATATGAAAAAAAATTTTAGCTCACAGCGCCACCACGTCCCTTAATGCCTAGCGTAGAAGGTAACAAATGCGCTTTGTGAAATTGCATTGTATAATGCAGGCATCTATACATGTTGTTCTTGCAAAATATGAAAAAAAAAACTCTTACACAGAATCACTTTCCTGGACACACAGTCTTCATTTAGATACTGTTTACACAACATTTTTCAGGGGGAACAGTCAGAATAAAATGGAACAAGGGGCCCTTCCACTCTCAGCTGTAGCACAGGGGAGGAGTAAACAGGGGAACACAATCCTGGGACCTTTGTCTCAGAATAGGAGCGAAAATGTCCTCCACCAACGTTAGCTGACAGACACTGATTACTCTGACAGCATGAAAGGGCCGTGAGGCTTTGAAGCGTTGCTACTGTTTATAATAATTTCAAAGAATTAGGAAAACAGATGGTAAAAAGGCTACATCCTTCTTCCTTTTCTTTTTCTGAAGGCACTTCAGGTTGTTGTTCCGTACTGTCAAGTTGCTTTCGACATATAGAGAC